CATCGGGAGACCAGAAGGAGGGTCTTGTTCTATAAAAGCACAAAACTCAGACGAGATCAAGATCGAAAGTAGCAGCGGCTTTTCCCATTCAATCACTCCAGAGGAGTACTACAGACCTTTCCCCTGGAAATGGGCCTAAAATTTTGACGAAAGGAGTAAGGAGTACGCACACTAAATCTTATGATATTCTTCATTGCTTAATGAATTTCCCTGTGCAAGCTCCCCCAATGGATTTTTTAACAGGCCAGTATGAAGCTGAAATGCACAAGAGGAGCACGCACAGGGAAATTCATAAGCGCTATGAAGAAACCAAGTTCATAAGATTTTGGTGGGAGTGTGAAAAAAGAAATTGAGGGAGTAGCGAGGCAATGGTCCATGCCATGGGAGCTGCTTGTGAGTCGCGCCGACACGTGAGTGGTCAGCTGCCGACTTTGGTCACGCTCGAGCGACAAAAGCGCATGCCGCGTTACGATGACAGTAATTGGACGGGGCAGCCCCGACACCTACTGCTTCATCTCTCTTCATCAAAGACAACGGAATTAAAAAGACCCGCAGGCACACGCCATCATACACTGGAAAAATTAAACTGTCCTGAAAATACCTTTTCAATTAATTATTCAAATAAAAAAACGTTGTTCTCTAACGAAATTTCAAAACTTTTCTTTTTTGGGCTTATTTTTTGTTTTGTTTCGACAAACTTAAACCTTGGCCCAAAATTTAGCAACAAAAGTAGGCTATTTGCCATACAGAAACCCCTGTAAGTAGGAGACCCACAGCCCCCCTCCCCCCTCCTCACTGTCAGCAGGCCGTAAAACCGCGCCTGCCGGGAGCAATACTGTGCCTCGGCGAACCGTAACGAACGATCAACCCTACAAATCCAGACGATTGAAAACAAATAAAAACTAATTTCTTGATCAACGAACATTATTTGAACCCCTTCCATCTATCATGGAATCGCGGGCGTGATGGAGCAGAGGATGAGCACCCCAGAAGCGCTGATCTGGTAATACGCATTGAAATCACATAAAAGGTAACACATTTCCGACCCATTTAGTGCGTTTTAGCGATTTAAATGCGCTTGGAATGCTCGTAATGCTCATTAAATGCACCCAGAATCAGAAAATGCTTTACTTTTAATTCGCATTGCTTGACTCCTTGACTTCATTTTTCATCCTCAGTGTCATTATTGCTTAACGGCTAACGCAGCCTCACTGCCAGAAAATATCTGAATTGCAGTACGATGAAATAGTGTGTACATTGGCAGATTAACCTTTAGCTAAACGAACCATATCTTCATACCAGGTGGCTGATTCACACCGCGCACTTTCGCTGTTATACTGTACCGCATGCACGGGTGCAGGTGGAATTGCCTATCCTCGTTGCCCACGGCTCCTTATGGCTCCGTGCGAATAGGCAACCTGCCCGCACCCGTGCACCGGTACAGTATAACTACAAAAGTGCGCGGCATGAGAAAGACTGACACCTGGTATAATACAAACAAATTTAACTCGCAATTATGGCTCACGGATCAACGTTTTGCAAATAGCATTGGATTTGTGCGTCACTTCACAAAGTGTGAGCTGGAGTGTCGCCACAAGTGAGGCTGGGTGCGCTGCGGCCGGTCACGTGACCACGCATCGCGACGCAATGTAAAGGTTCGTGTCTCAAGGAGTGGGCACGGCGGCGTGGCCGGGGAATGTCCCAGCATGTTACGAATGCGAACGCTCGGGACACGGGCGAGGGGCACATGGTGCGGACACAAGTCGGCAGCAGAACAACCGAAGAAGC